CACTAAAAAATTTTTCACCAGAAAGCATTTGAGCCATTGCTCGCAACCCAAATATCGATTTACAATCAATCGATATACATTCTAAATCCGATATACAACATCACATTAGAACACAACAATTTCAAGAACTACTAACACAAATGGACACTATACAACGACAATCAATAGAGCAAAATTTAAGAAAATTTGCAGAAACCGCAGGATTTTCAGATATTTACGCACAAGATTACAGCGGATATTTTAAAGACATCAAAGATTACATAAACTTAAACGGTGAAAAATATCGACCCCAAGATATATCACCAATCAATATTTTTAGTTTTGTAAATATCAAAAACAAAGTTTTAGCCTTTCTAGGATGGCCATACTACATCTTAGAAAAATTGACTATCTTATACGCAATGTTTAATTTTATTGGATTTCGTTTCTCATTACTAAAAGGAATCTATAACACATGCGCAATACATACACAAGTAAACCGACAAGCCAGCGTAGCACGCATATTATTCGCAGGATTTTTTGGAATATTTTCATCATCAATAAATAAAATCCTCCTAGATGCACAAATTAAAGAATATAATACAAAACTATCAACAAATCCCAACACATACGATGACTCAAATAATAATACAAATGCATCACCTTTGCATCACGGCATCCCATTTGCCAAATCTACATCATAATCATCCATTATCATTAGTTTCAAGAAATTTTTGAAACTTAGCAATCACAAACCCCCCGAGATTAAGACCCAGCCACATACAAAGCCCCATCCAACATATAGTGACACAACACCCTCCAATTGACGATATATACGAACAAATCCTTGAACAGCTCCATACTTTTTTCAGTCTCAAAATAATCATTTTTTTAGCCAACGATGATTAGACAAGTTGGATCACTCCACCGATCAAACTCAGATATCACAATTTATACAACAATTTCACGATTCAATAATTCTGATATCGAAACTCCCGATGAGTTCGCAGATTCCGAACAATCCCCTTCTACTCATACCCCGACCAGCTCAACAACCTTCTCAAAACCCCCTTTCCGACCTATCCAACCCCAAAGCCAACACACATCTCCCTACACTCCTTCTCAAGTAACCGCAACCTACTCCCCATTTAATAAAGAACACTCCACCAACAACTCCCCAGATAATATTCAAATTTCCGAAGAACTAGATAATTTTACAACTCTCCAACAACGATTGCTATCTCCCCACACCCTCACTATTCACCAATTATCATCAACAATAACATCATCAAATCCACCAACACCTACACCAATTTGAGATTATACTCCATCATTTGCTCATTCATCCACTTCAACAGAATCATCCAATAGTACTAACCGTGCTTATAGAATTTTAAACGTAAATTCCTAAATCACCCATTCCCATCCAAACCCGGAACCGCCCGAGAATATATAAACCAACCAGATCACACCAATACGACGAATTTTCTTCAAATAACCCTACCTTTATTTCCCCAATATACACTAAATCAATCCGACCCTAACCCTGAACCACGTCACTTTGTAGATGAACATGTATTCATACCCACACTTCATTGGACAGCTTATTATAATTTCACTAACCCCCTTACGCTACCACTCTATAACACCACTATCGATATTGAAAGAAATAAAAAAGAATTATTCAGGTTAACCACAGCACTCACTACCCGACAATTTACATAGAAAAATTACTAAATATCTTCACTGCACCCCGCGCTAACGACTACTCAATTGACTTTTATGATCATAAAATCATCAGATCTAATCAAGACCAATTTCTTGACGACGATAAATTCGCTAATCCACAAATCATAGAAAAGTTTTTTTATTAAATCATCATACATATTCACATTTAACATAATTGATAAAAAGCATGATCACATTATTTCAAAAGCACTATCAGACATTCAAGCGTATGAACCATTTCACGAAAAATTTCAAACATTTTCACTAACCTTTCACTTCCTGACACCAAAAGAACGTGATTTGCACTGCTCACACGACATCATGTTGAGAACTAAGCAAACACACACACATACTTATTATCGCTTTATTCAAAATCACTTTCATTTACACAAACCATCACGACAACCTCACCACAGATTTCAATTCATTAATTCCAAATACAGATCACCGTTTTTCCTAAATTTCACGTATTGCATTAAAAATACTAACTTCCAAGGCATCCTCCGGAATTATGATCCCGTCACTCAAATGTATATATTTTGTCCCCTCACGAAGACCTTAAACGACAAAAAATCCCGACCCCTGATCATTCCGCATGAATATATTCAACCCATAGAAGTACCCATTTTGGAATTCATCCCCAACACTAAATACAATCATAAAATTTACAATCTAATCCAGAAAACACCTCATGAATTTGCAGTAGGCACCGAAGAACTAAAAACCATAAAAGCACTGCAATTGCTTTGGCCACTGCTGCAAACGCATACTAGCAAAATTACTAACTACATCAGACGCTATTCACGATGTTTTCCCTCACGGTTTTTTCCCCAACGACTAAAGGTAACTATGAATTTAATAATTTTCAAACTAACTAATTCAAAATAGAACTCAACTTTTTATTCAGTAATTTGCACTTTCTTTGGTCTTCACACCACGATCACCTTCAAAACAAGAAAAGACAAATAAAAAATTAAACTCTGTTTTCCATATTAAACTCTATTAAACCAACAGCACTAAATGATGCAGTAAAAGTCAATTCAAAGTAGTAAATTCATTTCTAGATTATTTCCCCAAATGTAGTAACTTTAAATACGATGAAAATCAATTTATACTTTTCAACCCCAAAAGCAGTAAAATTTAGTCTTGAAAGCAGTAAATTCATGCAAATGAAATGCAGTACTAACCTATTCTATAACTTCTGTTCAAACGCACAGAAATTCTATCCACAATCGCACAGCTCGCCCACGAAGAATTGTTTAAAAAAATTAATTCAAATTTTAAGTTTGCACTAACAACAACTCAAACAAGCAATAACAAGTTTCCACTTTTCCTTTAAACCGGTTGGAATGGAATTATATAATAACCAAACTAACCAACGCAGCTTACTAAACACCATAAACCATAAACTAACCGCATGACTCAGAAAAGAAAACCCACAGTACCCAAACCGGATTAAACCAGCTTAAAACTGGATAATTTATTCTTTTGAAGACTATTACCAAGTCTAAAAAAGAAACAATAAAACACCAAAAATTCGCAAGACAAACACAAACCAAAAACAATTTGACTTTTGAGAAAAGGACACAACCAACGAAACAAAAGGAAAACAAAAAATAATATAACAAAAAAGTTAACACAAAACAGGACCCCTTAAAAAACCAGCACGAAATCATACTCCCCTTAAAAAACCAGCACGAAATCAGAGAGGACGTCCTGAGCATGCTCTATAGCCTGATTAACCCACTGTGCTACATCCACATTTTGTGACCACATCGCTATTTTTGACAAGAGGTACTCAAGTGGGAATAACTCTTAAAAATAACTGAACTAAAACTAAAACGCTTTTGCGAAAACAATTAACCAAAATCATAACTAAAAATTAGAATTAACAAAATTTTATAAAATGTAAATCATAAATATGCAGTATATAGATTACACACAACCACAAAAACAAGCATCCAAAGACTGGACGACCCCATCACACTCAAACTACAGAATGGCTAAACACAACTGACATGCCGCTCACAATCACGACTCATAAAGGATTTAGAGTACGACTTGACTTCGCCGAAAAGGACTTCATTGAATCAGACCAATGACCACCTCGATGTTCAAGTATACGTACAGATCCGAGTTACAAGGCATCCCCTCCAAACACGATCTTCACGCCATTCCCCAACCAGATCGAAACACAGTTCTCCACAACCAATCAAGAACAGACGATCATAGCAAACCATCTTGAAATCAGATTGGTTTCATTGGCAGTCATAACCTTTGTCAAACGATAACTAACAACTTCCTATCGATGACTCCAACTTCCTGGAGCTTTCTTCTCCAAGAACAAAACAGGAAATGATGCTCGCCAAATAAAAACGACCAACATCCATCCTTCATTACAGATAGAAGATCTAAGATTCAAAACTCTGTAAACCCCGGATGGGTGGAACCAGATATAAACTATTTTTATTATTGGTTATAAATTGGATATTTTATCTCTATAAAATATTTAATATTACCCAATCACGATCCATCTAACTAACAACCCACTTATTTGTAAGTGCTAAAATTACTTGTAATTTCAGCACCAGAGAGAGATTTGAATTTAACTTAGAAATTAGTTACCTCTCCAAGAGAACTTTAGCAATCGCAAAATCATAACTAAAAATTAGAATTAATGCGTTTTGGTGAAAAAACCGTCATTTAAATTTGTCAAATTACAAAGAAACTTGAGAATTTTCACCTAAACACTTAATTACAGTGACCATTTGCTTAGCGTTTTCTTAAAGTTTCAACAAAAAACTTTCATCAATGTCTCGACGACTCTTAATGAAAGTATTAATATATGTTTTCAAGCGTCTACCAGGTTTTTTTGGAGAAAACAATAACTTTGTCGGCGGTCGCAAAAGTCTGAGCATATCAAAATTTGGTCGTAAAAATCTGAAAACACCAAATACTGGTCGCTACAGTCTGGGCGAGCCGCCGTTTCCGCTCTATTGGCAAAATTTGCTACAGATATTTTTGGTCGCGAAAGTCTGGACATAACAAAAATAACTCGCGAAAGAAATTCTGAACATAAACCCACGACCTCGACCCGGGATGTCCTAGCTCGACCAAATATTCATAGCCGCGCTGGGAGTCAAAACTATAGCCATCGAATATCACAAACTGGCTTGTGAAAGTATGGAAAACGTGAAAGCATAAAAATAAAGCATGAAATTCTGGACAAAAAAAAACAAATTTTTGAACGGGGTTCAAAAAGTCTTTGGTGCCTGAAAAATTTTCAGTTTTACCTGTCGGAACTAAGACTCCACGATGGTACTTGAAAATGTGCCCCGATACCAAAATAGTCCCAAGGTATCGAAGAGCTTGCAACATCTCTTCGTCGCCATCACAGTGAGATGAAGTTGTCAAAGCGCATAGCAGATCTTTCAGTGTTGTCTCGGAACTTTTTAGAATAACTTCCTTCGAGTTTCCTCCATTTTTCATTAATTTGTTCACGCGGTTGAAACTTAAGCAGTCTTCGATTGAAACTTGAGCGGTTGAAACTTTGCAGTTTTCGCTGACCATTAAATAGCAGTTTTCAAGTGCTTCGTTTGTCTTTGAAGCAAGTTCACGCTTAACGGCTGTTGTTTGCAGCTGAGTGTTCCACTCATCGCGCGATATGTTGGTTGTGATTAGAATAAATTTCACATGTTTTTTCACAAAGTTTCGCAACCATTGTTTCTTTTCTTCGAGGCTCTTTTTTGAGAAGTTTTCTACAATATTGGAACCTTCCAGAATGGCAAACATCATCTGCCTTATTCTGCGGCAATGATTCGACATTTGACGGAGTTTTTCGGAGACTTTAGTCATTTTCTGTTCTATTGCCGCTGGTGCCTGAAATTATTGAATCAGTGGGCATATGCAAATCAAAAAATATTTGTTTTTGATTAAGTTCTTATATTCTTACAGTGCAATCAGCCATTCTTAAAGACACCACATTACATCAGAGTAGCACAAGTCGGAATTACAAAACAGCTGCCTAACAACACAGTGACAATATGTCCTTATGCTGCATAAAAAAAAACTAATTTTTGGCTTGTTCCCGTGTTGAGATGTTCGACTTATATTTCGACCAAATTCGGTCGAACACACGGATGTTATTTGGGTCGAAAACAACCCTTTCAGTCTAATACAATTTCAAAACATTATTTCGAGGCTTAGTCAAACATAAAATCGAATACAAAGTGTGCTCAAACACAATTTAGTCGAAACAGAATCGGCCCCAAGAAACGGGCTGCAAATTTTAGATAAAAATGCTCAAGTTGACGTAAGAAAGATCTATAAAAATTTGATGTTTCGACATACGAAAAACATATTCCGATTTTTGACATCAGTGAACAATGACAATCTGCTGACTAAGGTGCATCTTTCAAAGTAAGATGCACCTTAGTAATTCTGACTTATATATTTTTGGCCTATGTATTTCTGACTAAGATGCATCTTTCATCTTTCGTTGTTTTGATCGTATGGGCATTTCTGTTGCATCTTGGATCGAATAGGTTGGTTTTCCAATGTAACCTAGTTTTTCTTGTTTCGCTTTTGTTGTTACTATTTCTTGCTCTATTTTCTTATCAATATTAAAATTTCAGGGGGTTGATTTTCCCTTTAACCCTTTGCAGTCGTTCCTTTTCATCGATTTGCTCAACTTTTCTCCAATATTTTGTTCAACTTTTCTCAGTTGAAGGCGGGTATTTGCGAGATGTCTTTTGTTCTCGTTTAAGTTTCAATCTTTTTAATTTGATGAAGAAAGTATGAAGCTTTGTTGAACGTTTAATTGCCTAAATTTAAAATTCAGGAGGCTTTTGTCGCCTTAACACACTCCTCATCAAAATTTATTCAAATTAAGGGAAGCGCTAATTCGACTGGATTTCTTGTCCTTTAGACTATTAGTCCCAGTCTTCTTCCCCGCCAAGTGCTTTAAGATAGAAATTTTTTAATCAATTAATCTATCTACTTAGTCAAAAAGAGTGCCAACTTGACTGTTAGGTGGTTTTGAAAAACATCAATATATCCACCCATGTAGTTAACGTAATACTTGATAATTTGCTCGCGTTTGGAGTACTGATCAAACCTTGGTGGTCTGTAGTGACGGTGAAAAACTTTCCTTTAGTTAGTCTTTGATATTTTCGATCACCCAAACTAGACTGCACATAGTAGTTTGAGTAGTAACAGAATGATAGTAGAAATAATACCCTACTTACAGTGTTGGTCTGAAAACGAGGTGAACGTCAAACAAAAACCACTTCAAAACCTCCCAGAGCCGACAAATTCAGAAATCCAGAAGGAAACGGGAGCATCATCGAATCAGAGTCAGACAGGTGTGACACAAGTAGAAATAAACACTAGAAAGAAAAAACAACAGGTAGCCAGAAAATCAATTAGACTAACAACAAAAGTAAAAGACCCAAAGACATTTGAGCAAAAGTTTAAGACCATAGATAAAAAATACTAACTTATACGCCACACACAGCTCGGGTACAGACTATATTGAACGCAAATCTGCAAGACGTACCGGTCCATGCTTGCATTTTTGAGACATTGAACAGCCAAACGCACCCCAACACCCAATGTTCAAAGAAGATGAACAAACAAGCCTGCCTAAAAGACTTTCCCTAAAACAATTGCAAAAAAAAACTTCAGAGTCAGAAGGAAAAAGGAAAACACAAACCGGAAAGATCAGGAGGAAAACCGACTCCCAAACAACCAAGAGGAATGATTCTCAAAAACGGGGAAAAGAAGAATGTCCGACACAAAACGGCATCATCAAGCGAGGATTGGTCATCGACCACTTCAGAAGAGATGGCGCCCTCGCCCAAACGGATAGACGTCGAAAAGACGCCTCCACAACCTCAGCCACAAACATCACAAACAGAGGCAACGAGGAAGTCAACGCGAAAACGGCAATCAACGTTGGCCAAGGGGCTAGGAAATCCAGTCCCGATCACCAGTATCAAACAGAAACAGTTCAGCATAAAGTCGCCCGAGGAAACAAACCCAAAAACAGAATCAACCCAGCAGCTTATCTAGTTTTATCCATGAAATGGGTTTTAAAGAAATACATCCAAAATTTTTGCCTTTAAATTCTTGGAGACGATAAAGCCAAGTGGCGAACGAGAAAAAAGCAGGGTAGAAGACCTAGTATTACATATTGACAGCCCAAAAAAAGAAACGATAGGGATGACAGAAAATACAGAAATCAAGAAAAGTCACGAGATACCGGCGATAGACGAATAAATCAACACGACCAAAGAGCATGGGAAGCAGTAAAAAGAAAAAACGATGAAATTACCATCGGCACGAAGCAAGGCGAGGAATAACAAGCGAAGCAACAGAACAAAGAACTCAAGAAGCTCGCTAAAAGTTAGATAACTAAAAGTCCTACGTGGGCTCAAGAAGTCAAAATTCAAACTTAGTCAGTCCCACTGTGACTCAAAACTCAAACTTTGTTTTTTTTTCAGCGGGGGGAAGGTCATCCGGTCGGATTGGCATTAACGAAGAGATGTACACACACACGCACACACACACACACACACACACACATATATATATATATATATATATATATATATATATATATATATATATATATATATATATATATATATATATATATATATATCATGTTTATATACCTATTTATATAATCTGTACCACAGGTCAACTGACCTTGAGCGACACGGCTATTCCATAATGCTTAGAGCACTGAACGCTCAGAACACGATTTATGAGAATATGTTTCAGTTATCTTTTTTCCTTCATTGAGTTATCAACCTAGTAGCCAATCCGTACGGAATCAGTAGCGACTTATACGACACGGTATGACAAAAAAAATTCATTTTTAGTGTTTTTATTGCTGATTATTGCTTAAAAAATTTTCAATAATTGATTTTATTGTATAAAAAATTACCCATATTAGATAAAATCATATTAAATAAATATCTGTTGGCTTGTGTTCATTGATGAAAAATTTTTCCGTATTTATTTTTTATCATCGAAATCAGATCTAATTTTGTGTAACAACAACACTCATTTTGAAGTTTCTCTTTAAAGTTAGATCATAAATCGAGAGTTACTATTTGGAAGTTTTCAATTTTTAATGTAAATGAAGTTTAGACAACTTTTCTCTATGATTTTTAGGCGATTTAAAACCATGGTTGGCGCATCTAAACTAAACAAGAAATGAAAGAAAAATTACTTTTTTTAAAAAAATTCTTTTAAAAAATGTCTCAAATTGATCAATGACATGCACAGGATTTTATGAACTGGAAGAGGTTTTTGAAAATTTATGACCGCTTCTTATAGGTGAGACATTAAAAACTTTTCCAGCCCTTTGAAACCCAGAACGGTCAAAATTAGGAAAACGTTTTAGGCGCAGGTGATCGTGGCAAAAATCATCACAAAAGTTGCAAAATTTGGCGCGTACCTAAACCCCCTCCCCCATCCTAAAACTTGGCATATATTGACGCCAAAGGCACTTTTAGAAAAGTTATACGTTCAGTCCACCATGAATGGCTGTCGTAAAAAACTACGAAAGGTGGCCAAAGGAAAAATTTGGCAACTAGAATTAAGGGACGGCTACGCCTGTGAGCTCCAAACCTTCTTCTAGCCCAGCAGCCGGTTGTTCTGTTACAATTTTGGTCGTTATAAAATGAAGAGGAGGGGGTTGGTGTCGGAAGTTTAAGCTATCCTTCCCATTTTTAAAATTGGACGAAGTTATTGCAGTCATCTTTTGAAAAACACTCCTGTTCTCACCTCTGAAGTGATTTTGGAAGCGGTGATTTCGATACAAATCAGCTTGTCAGGTGCACAGAAGAGCCAGTCGTACTCATACCGCTCCCCCTTTTTCACCCTTAGAATATGCTGCAGCTTGTCCTCGTTTGTGTTTTTGATAAAGATTCCTTTTGGCTCCTCTTCCGCTGTAGGCTCATTAATAGCTTCGATCAGTTGCATGAATAAAGAAGTCTCGCTTGTAGTTTTTTGGAATGTCCTGTAGTCTGCGAGTCCTGTTTTACCGGCCATTTGCAATGTGGTTGACCGGAAAATTAGTTCCTCTTTTGGAGCAAACAAGAACGGCTTGGTTGTTAAGTTTTTACTATATGAGTCTCGAATCTTGCATTTGACAAGCTCTTCTAGTTTTTTGTAGTCTTTTAGCGTAGTTCCGTGTTCATCTTTCCCTTTCCAAGAAGCTTTAACTTGATTGTTTTGCAGTGTGAACAAGCGAGTATCGAAATTGCAATTCTTAGCCAGCTCTCTAGCTACTTCAGTGAAGCTATCAACCCGTCCTGGTTTCAAAACATTTCTCACTTGATTCAGCGAGAGTCTTCGGTCAGCTTCGATTTCGCTTTTCTTTTCGTCCCTCAACATAAATGCAATTCCGCATTCGCGACATGTTTCTTTGATATCACCAACCATTTTCCACAACTTAGAGGGTTTTTCAATTTTTTCTGGTTTTATGCCATTAATTTCAACTTTTACTCTATCTACCAAACCGTTTTTGGCCATAATCTTTCTAATGATTTTGATTCGCTTTTGATGATTTTGTGTTATTTCACTGACCTTTGAGACATCTTGCTTTTCGATATTTTGATTAATTTCGATAAAAACATCAATTCTTCCCTTGCCCAAGTTGAGACACAGATTCAAGAGCATGTCCGATTTCAGGTTTCGATCTTCAGCACAAGCAGTTTCGATGATACTGGAAGTTTCCGGAACTTCAAACAGAACAAGATAACAGGTGTTTTCAGAGTACTGTGTGGTGCTTGTGTAAGCCATCTTTTTCAGGTGATCGTCAGTGTCAATCGTCCTGGGAAGTGTAAATATACGGTGATTCTTATCCGGCAACGACATGTCGAAGCTGTCGCAAAAGTTTTGGACCTGATCTTCGTCCATATCACTTTATTTTCACGCTGTTTTGATCACGCGTTCAATCATCAGAAGCTTGTCTCGTAAACGTTTTTTTAATAACACCAACGCAACGATATTTTGTCAAATACGGACTGTGACTTAATACCACTTAATAAATAAGAGTTCATTTTGATCAAATGGCTTTTAAACATTGTATTATCTCAGCGTGCTTATTATACACAGTATATTTGAAAAATTTTCTATCAATGAATTTTTTTGTCCAGATGTTCGTCCGAGCATTGCATAAAGAACAAGACTGCTCGTATCAGGGCGAAGCCCTGAATGCTCCGACTGCCTTTGAAGGTTTATGGAGCAATAATAAAAAATCAATGTAATAAAACAAAATGAAAATACTTTTTTTCTCTAAAGTTTGAATTTTTTAAATGAAAATCATCGCCCCACACGCCATATAAAGTACAAAAATATAGATTTCGCTCCTTGTAACAAATCAATTATGGCAAATAAGCTTCTTTCAACCAATTTGGAACGATTTCTAAGACGGATTAACTCTCCGCTTACGCGTTAATAGCGCGAAATATATCGCGCGTTAATTGTCCCAAATTGGCCAAAATGGCAATCTTTAAACCCCCATAACTTTACGAAAAATGATCACAGGTGACATATCTTTTCAAATTTGAGCTCATGACAACAATACCTTTCGAATGGTATAAAAAAATTTCGTCAAAATTGGCTAGTTAAAAAGTCGAAATTTGTCTGAAGAAAAAAAACCCACCCGAGCACAAATATTCCGTCACTCTCGTATTGAAAGTGGGAACAATAAAAAATGGTACTTAAAATAAATATTAAATGAGTGTGTATCTTATACAAATATAAATTTCATTGAGAAGTTTAATGATATTAATTATTTATTGTGCTTAAAATTTTCGAATAAAAAACGCATTATTAACAGTGCCTGGATTGGTCAAAAATTCTAGCTTAAATTTTTAGGTGGAATACAAGTTTTTAGGAAATGGAGCCAGTGAAAATGCTTCCCTTCAATTTAGTATCTACTAGCGCTGACCATTTATTATAGCATGGCGGTGCAAAAAAAATATCAAAACCAAACTTTTGACTGGCAAAAGATTCTTTTTTCCTAGAGTCCCTCCCCTGTACAGTCGCCTCTAAATAAAAAATTCCTTTTTTCCCAAACTAAAAGTATAATTATTTCCGTTAAAAAATTGTTTGCAACTATAAAACTTAGACTTAAGCCACTTCGTTTTACCGGTTATAGGCACCCGAAACTTTGAATGTTTTGTCGCTGTACGAGCTGTTTTGTAGAATTGGTGATTCTACTGTATTACATGCTGTAGTAACCTGAGCGTAAGATTGATTCGTCATTAAGTTAGGTAGTACAGCAAACAAAGGGTAAAGTTCGAAATAGTTGAATCTTCAAAGATATAGTCCCTCTTATGGAAAACTCAGGTGAAGTAAAATCGGCGGACTACCCCCCAAATACGAACTACAGTGGCTAGGTTTATGAAATTCAGAGGAGCGATACTAGAGATGATTTGACCAGGGCATACGAAAAACGGGACCCCTCAGACGCTTGGGGGGCAAGTGATAACTGTCCCCGGAAGTGTAAATGTCCCTATCAGAACTCGGAAGCTAGCGGCGGTGTTGGGCTCAAATTCTAGTATGTTGTAGGCCTAGTTGAGGGACGCTTAAGTTTAGAACCCCAGACCACCAAGACCCCCACTTCCGGTTTTATGCCCTAAGTAAACAAACGCACCCGTAACTTCAGGAAATCGTTTCTCGACCACCGATGAACACAGGGAGCTGAAACTTGGGGGATGATAGGTAGTGGCAAGTAAAATCTTGAATTGTAATTTGAACCAAATCCGGCGGTTGGACCGGAAGCTATTAGCACTTGGAAAAAGACCCCTTAGACCGAAAGTAGGCAATTTACGCAAAATAATGAGCGAGGCCATTTTGATTTTATGGCGGCAATAGACATAAGTTACGGACCCCGAAAAAAGACCTCTAGTGAGTGAAAACTCTTCGGTGACTCCTTCCGGTGTTAATAGCCGTTTCACGGAAAAAGTGATAATGGACCTTAGAAATGGTATAACTTGTGAAGTATTAAAGTGATAAGAATGAAGGTAGTTAGGAATTCCTTGGTAGTTAGGACCCTCCTTGGTAGTTAGGACACCCATGGGCTTCTGAACCCAAATATGGAAGCTTGACCCCGGTTTACCCCTGGGCGACCTTAAGTTGACCTTTGGGCTTTCTGACCCCAAAATTGCATGGAAAACCCCGAGATTAACACCGGAAAGTGGCGTGTTTCCCTGCCTAACCCCTGGAAATGAGAATGGGTCACCTTGCTAAAATTGAGGGGAAAGTTTATATATTGGGACCTAGATCAGAAGCTGATAGAAATATAGATTTTACATTGCAACCTTGGAGTAGTGAATTTAATTCAAAGTGGACTTGGTAAACATTGGGTTCAGTTTAAATTGGCGAATGCGCTATTAATAGAGTAGCAATAAGGGTAAAAGCAAAATAGTCCCAGAAGAAATGGATAGTAATAGGACCATAGCATGACAACTAAGTTACGACAACAGGGAGTGTTCGGATTTGGTACGATACGACCAGATCGGTTTCCCTCGAGCAGTTATCAAAACTGGCGAGACTGGAGGAAACACTTTGCCTGGATAGCAGACGCCAATCGATTGGACAATGAGCAGGCCAGGATGGTGCTGCCGACTTGTCTGCAGGCTGGGCATTGGATGAGATCACGAGTATGCCAGCTCACTTTCGAGAAGAAGTTGACGGGTTCGAGGAGCCGACGCTAGGCAGAATGCTCGCTGAACTCGATCAGAGGATGATGCCATTTTGGACGCAATCAGCTGCGAGGGCTGAATTCAAGAACCTCATGCAGGAGGAAGGCGAGGGCTTGAGAGATTTTGCAAGACGAGTGCGATCCTTGGGTGAAGTTGCAAATACAAACCTGGGAGCTCAAGCCCGGGACGACATGAACCGCGAACAGTTCAATGATGGATTGTGTGATTTCGAGCTTCAAGAATTGCTTCTGCGAGAAGACCTCGAGAATTTCAACCAGGCGGTGGCCCGAGAACAGTCTCTAGATATGGCACGCAAAACAGTCAGGATGAAGAGTCGGAGACGGCCGAATCTGACGAACTGACGACTGAGGCTGGCGGAGACAGTACGCTGACTGCCAAGACTCAACAGATACGGACGGAGCTGACGAGATTGCAATTGCAGACGCACACTGACCAGAGGCTGGACCAATTGATGAAGGCTCAGAACAACCTGGCGAAGCAAATTGATGTCCAAAGTTCGAGGTATGATGAGGTGAGATTGCAGATGCAGATGCAGGAATCACGCCAGAACGATCTGGCTGCTCAAATGATGGCCCAGATGCAAAAATTATCGACAATAATTGGTAGGTTCGTTGATCCTTGGAAACCCAAGCCACAGAGTCACACCCGACGGGGAGAGAATCAGCAACGCGACTCTGCGAACCCAATTGGGCGACAAAGTGGAAACAACCCATTGACCCAGGGTGGTTGTTTTAATTGTGTACAGGTGGGCCACATTGCAAAAAGATGACCCCAAAGATGCGCGAACCATTTAAATTACCAAGGGCCGGGACAGAAGGCGAATTTGAAGGAGGATTTGTCCCGGCCGAATTTAAGAAACAGCAGGCGGAAAGGCGAAAGCAAGCTACAGGAACTAAGTCTTGCGCGCGTTACGATACGAATGCAAATAATGATGGAGAAGGGAAGAGCGAGAAGATATTGGAGCAGGAACAAGTTCTATCGAAATTGGAACGAATACCAAGGATCAGAGAGAACAACCTAAAGTTGGAAACGAAACAGAATTCTCGGACGCGCATCGAGCGTGTTGGGATCAGTCATGATGTCAGTGATCCACGCGGAGCAGTCGTTAATGCTTGCGTAGGCGGAACCCATGTTGGGATGCTGCTTGATACCGTAGCCACCACCGATCTCATAAGGACAGATGTTGCGCGAAGAATGGTTGACGCACCGACGATGGAATGCTACGTAGGTCGACTGGAGACAGCAGACGGACAAATAATGGCGGTGGACGGAGTTGTCAGAACTCGCTTCAAGTTGGGCGACATTGCCGAAGAAATCGAAGCACTTGTGGTCCCGAAACTGAAAGCCGAGATGGTCCTAGGACTGCGATCGATGAAAGAGTATCGGTGCTCTTTGGCGTTCAGTCGCGGAGAAGATTTCTTGTGAACGGGAACGAGAAAAGGTTCAATGTTACCCATACGGCACTTGACACATAGGCCTTCTCCGGAACGGATGTCCTCTCTGCCACATGAACCGGGCGGACAGATTAAAGGAAATCATATTCCAAGATCAAACATGCGGAAGAGGTTGATTGCAAAGATAACAGCAGCAGTGGAGTCTCCCGACGAAGTCTTGGAAGGATGGCCGATGAGTTATGACGATCACAGCCTAAATGTGGTTCAAGAAACAAAAGTGGAGGAATATGAAATGTAGACGGATGTCGAAAGAAAAGTCCAGTGGTGCTTAAGCCAAGCAGCACAGAGTGCCAGTGGAAAAAGGAAGTGAGCTGCGATTCAGGCCCCATTTGACCCCGGAATCAGATTCAGTACGTTAGCAGTGGACGATTTGGGTCCAAAGACGACGGCGACGCGGACAAGAGCGAAACATGTGCTTGTTTTGACGGATCTTTTCACGATGTATGCGATTGCGGTCCCTCTTGTATCAACAGATGCATCAGACGTGGCTCAAGCAATTGTGGAACATTGGGTACTGAAGTTTGGAACTCCCAATGCTTTGCGTACGGACCAGGGAAAAGTCTTCGGCAGTAAACTGATCAAGGAGATGTGCCGACTGTTGGCAATTAATGGAACCCCGACTTTGCCATACAAACTCGCTCGAAGGTAGAGAGCTGACAAGGCAATATAACGATGATGACGAAGGTGATTTCAAAGTACTGTGCGGAGAACCCAAAGACGTGGGATACGATGTTGCCGTACTTGAGTTTTGTATACAACACGACTATTCATCGGGCGACGGGAGCGACGCCATTCAGTCTGGTTCATGGTCAGGAATGCCAGTACCCCATTGACCTGTTCTACGCGAAACCTCACGACGTAG